AATATCCTCTAACTTTCTCTCTCTTGTGGGGTAGAATAAATTGCTCTCCAAAGTTGATTTAATAACCCACTTAAGGTGGACTTAAATAGGCTTTGAGAGAAGTTTATTTCCCTTTCCTAGAAGGGCCTAATTTCCAATTAAAGAGAGAATCAACATCAAAATAAGAAGCAATCCTACGTTTCCTAAAGCAAGAAGATCTCTACACCTGCTGCCCTTTCCTACGAGCAGCCCAACAGGTGTGGGGGCATTTGTGGAGCCAAAAATATTCACTAGGCGACACGTGGATTTTTGGACAAAATAGGACAAAAATACCCTCGAGGCATACCGGGTCTCCTACACGCGAGCAGTTGAGAATCATCCATCAACCAAGTCAGGAGTACCCAAAATGGGTAACAATTCAAAACCTATTTCATATATGTTTTTACCTCATTTTTTCCTTATTCAATTAGCCATTTATTTCAAACATTCCATAACATCCTCAACCAATTAATATAATCAATATATTAAAGGCTATTTACATCACCAAATCACCCCAAAATCACACCAAGGTCCGGCCATTCCCATCCAAAAAGAGCCTATCATATTCTCTACCTTTTCCACCATTTTCCCTTTTTAATTACCCTAATTAACTAGCCAATTAATTCCAAAAACCACCAAAACATTCATTTTATGTTTAAATAGCCAAATAAATTGGCTAATTAAACCTAAATTAAACCTAAAAACCCTAGCCACCTCCTAACTCTATAAATAGGCACCTATTCTCATCAAAAAATCAATTCCAACACTTTGGCAAAAATCCCAAAATTCTCTAAACACTCTTTCTCTCTAAATTCTAACTTTGGCATCGGAGGTTCTTCGGCCAAAGCCCCCCCCATTCATCGTGGGCGCGTGAGGCTCTTGGCCTTAACCTAAGGTGTTAATTGTTTTGTAGGTGCAAAATCGTCCAAGATCGAGGAGGAAGAAATTTGCATCCACAGTACCCAATCTGGGTGGACCACACACATCTTGTGTTTGCTTTCCTGTCTCTATCCATTTACATACTTATCCACACTAGTGACCAGAGCAATCTAGCGAAGGTCACAAACTTAACATTTTCTGTTGTACCAAAGTCCCCACTGATTTTGTGCATCAACATATCTCAAAGTCGATCCTTGTGCAAACAAGGCTAGTGTTGACTTATGTTGACTGAGGAATGCCACATCATATGCCATGTCATCAAGAAAACAGTTAATAATTAGTTAGAGTGGTTATAAGAAAGCTTACTGTGTAAGAAAGTTAGTGAGCAGATTAGTTATGTATAAAAGGTTGTGAGCAGCTCAGTGTATGATGATTCACATTTCATATATACAAAGCTTTCATTTCTTCTCTCTAAATTTGTTCATCTTCCATAGTTTCTGGTGTATAAATATTGCACTGTTAAGAGCTTGGACATTTTCAGCTAATGAAGTCACTTTTGCAGTAGTCGAGTTTGAAGTTTGAAATAGAGAGATTAAATAGTTATCATTTATAGATTTCAATTGGATTAGATTATATATTTGAACAACTGTGATTCAGATTCGACAACTTTATTGTACGTTCTAATGTTTACTGCAATACAGCATTGACCATTTTGTTTTGGTACAACTTAACTTAAAAACAACCAACAACATGAAAGCAACTGAGGCAACTGACAGCAAGGGAAACTAGTTTGCAAAAAACAACCACAATTAGCAACCAAGAACAACTAAAGCAGAACCATAAACAAGCAAGAAACAAAGAGACTCTGAGAAAGCAAAACTTCGACAAAGAAAGTCTGTAGGGAACAGTAGACAATGGCATAAAAAAAATGCAAGTAGCATCCCTGTAATCATTCTGAAAAATATGGACTTAGCTATCAAAAAGGGAAATACAACCGGTTAAGAGGCATACTCTCTCCCATCTGTTATGCTCTTATTTGATACTTTGTTTTTGGCATTTGTGTATGTTGGAAATTTATGTTATAATATTTATTAAATATTATAATATTTAATTTCAAAGATTTAACCAAATAGTGCGTTTAATAAAAAATAAAATAAAATAAATAAATAACCAAATAGTGCAGCGGCACCATTGCGCAAGAGACATGACTTTTGTAATGAAGTATGAATTAGATGAAAAGATGGCATCACTTTATGAACAGCCACTTCAGCCATTCCTAAAAGTCACTTGGGTTCTTTATAAGAAAAACTATAAAAAAAATTTAAAAATTTTGAGTTTTAATTAAAATAATAAAAATATGTTGTAAGTGAATAGTATCATGAATAATTTTTTAGAGTACAAATATCTTTAACGTTAAAAGTGAATAGTACTATAATTGTTTCGTTAAGACTCCCTTTTTTATAATCCATAATCGCATCCGTGTAATTAGTACTAGCCTTCATGCACGGGCTCACGCGCATGCAGAAGACATTTTTTGAATCACAGTGTACTACGCGCAACTTACACATTTTAATTGTGTTTATATGCGTAAATTGACAAAAGAAAAGTCAAATATTTGAAGTAAATTTATAATCTTAGATCATGCTAGAAGAAACCTCTCATAAACCAATTAAAGCAGCTGAATCCATATAATTAAATCGGTCTCTATTGAATTTATAATAAGAATAGAGAAAATAATATTTAATAAACAACTTATTGAATCATATTATTGTTAGTCTATTGTGAGGCTAAGTTCACCCATTTCCCGTTAGTGTAGGTAATATCATTTGTTCAAAATAATAATAATAATAATCATTTGACAACTAATTTAATCACATTATTATCCGCGTGTGAAAGACCTTTTTATAACTGGCATTACACGTCTCTTAAGATGTTTTGAATGTATTTAAAAATAGAGAAAATAATATTTAATGAACAACTGATTGAATTACATTATTGCTAGCCTATTGTGAGGTACTAATTATTGAAAAAAAAACCTATAAAAATAAAATTAATTATTAAAAAAATACTGTTAAAATGATGAAAATGTCCATACCACATTTGATACATTATTTTGGGTTGCTTTTAAAGTTTTTTATTTGAGGGGCATTTTTGTCCAATTATTTTTTGTGAAGCTTGTGACACCAAAAAAATACTATTCAATGGGCCCTTGGCTTTATATATATAGATTAGATAGAGAGTCAATTAGAACGTATTGGACAAAGAGTATTTCCATGTACACTATGTTCTTTCTTTGTTGTTTAATTCTGAGTCGTGTCTTGAGAGTACGAAATATATTGAGTTCGCTAGAGTCTAAAGATTGAAGTGCTTTGATTTTGGATTATAGATTGTTGAATTATGTGAGAGAGACGTGTTGAACAACAAAAATAGAAAACATAAAAAAAATAGAGTCCATACAAATTGGGTCAAACTACAAGGCAAAACAAAAATGTAATCCAGCCCAAAAGATGAGGATGAGTTTTACATACAAATTAACATCCATAAATAAATAAAATAAAATAAATAAAATGTGAATTTCTTCCTACAAAAGGGGGAAGAAACTGTGCAAAACATGGTCTCCTATTTTTCTGCAAGGCATGGGAAAAACTGCACAGTTGGTGGGAGAGGTTAGGGGAAAGTGACTGGAGGTCATGGCCTCCATCTTCCCCCACGTAACAAACTCTAGAGCCTTCTTGGGATGCCTATCAATAGGCATCAGCTACAGCAAGAGAAAAACATAGAAAAAGAGAGGGGAAACTCTGCAGAAAAAATAGAGAAACTTTGAGGAAAAATACCAAAAGCAACAAGATGCTGCCAGAAAAGTGAGCAAGCAGTTTAATCATTTGTGCTTTCAAGTCAAGATCCAAAGGAAGAACATTCATCACCAGGTATGAAACAAGTTCTGTTAATTTATTTCTCTCTTGTTTAATGTTGTGTTGCAGACAAAAGTGAAAAAAAGGGCGTAATCAACCACCTAGAGTATGTAACCTTCAGTTCATACAAGGAAATTGCAACGTTTAAAAGAGAAATGAGGAAGAGGACCTGGACTCCCCACTGACAACAGCAGAAATAATCTCCAAAATCCCATGAATTTCTTCGGGGTGGCCTAAACCACCCCGTGAAGTTCCAATCAAGTCTAAGAGATCCGTATTCATCGTCCATGCTAAGAAAGAAGGAACCATTGGTGTCACGACAAGCAATAGATTTGATAAAGAAATAACAAGTTTCGACTCCAAATATCAACCGCAACCTGTTTTTTATTCAATCAACAACAGTGCAGGAGCTCGTTGGCAAAAGTAGAACAATATGCCCCAAAAAAGTGGTTAGTTACTGATGTCCTAGACTTCAAAGATTACTCCAGAGAAAGGAAAATGAAGCAGATGTCTTTTGAAGGACTTGTGTGGCTATCATTTTGATCAAACATTGTGTCAAAATTTTGACCAAGGCATTGAAATAAAACCAACAGATGCTACAAGACATGAAGGAAAGAAAGGAAATTTCCAAATCCTTAAGGGTGCGTTTGTTGCACTGGACTGTCTCGGACTGGACTAGCTGCAGGGACTAAGCTGGACTAGCTTAGACTAGACTAAGCTGGACTAACTTAGTGAAGCGTTTGGTGCAATGTCGGACTAAGAAGCAGGATAATGAAAACAGTACTGTTCACCAGATTTGTGTTTGCTTAGACTAGAACTACATTATTGTTCTATTTTAATAGCTCAAAAACCTGTGCCCAACGCCCTAAATTTTTTTGTCATTGTGTAATAGAGTAAATGCTACAAATCTCATGATCTGGGTTAATTTGAGCATATTTTTGCCATGTACATTATGAATCTTAAAAAAAGAGGACAATTGTTTTGTTTTTAGTACCTGCTAATATAAATGAAAAGATAAATACATATCCTAATTCAAATGAAATTGGGCTTGGTGTATAAAATGGTTTTACCACTTATTTTCCCTCCAAGATTTTGTCTAGTTACAAAAACAACCTCAATTCTGTTAGAACACAGAGCAGGCTCCACAAGTATTCCAAGTTTAAACAAGAAAACAAGAAACAAATCAAGAGGTACAAAAAGGCCAAAAAATTTCATCGAGCTACATATGTTTTTATTTTTGTTTTTCTTTTACAAAAGTCATATTACGGGAGGGAGATACACAAACACAGAACCTCGAATGTGAGGGTAAACTGGCTTAACCACTATTAAAGGAGGCAGTACAACTAGAAGTCCCTTGCATCTCCATTTTCTTTAGATTGAAATGTTTTTGGGATTAACCCAAAAAACTCACATGGATTTCTACCCATATGTTCTTTTAAACGGATTTTTTTTTTGGGGATTGGACCAAATTAATATTGTTATAAATATTTGTTACAGGGGGACCAAGCATCAATTGTTGGGGGTGCCATAAACTTTGTGAAGGAGCTAGAGCAAATTTTTCAGTCCATGAACAGCAACAAGAGGAGCAAGCAACAGCCTTTGGCTGACTTCTTCACCTTCCCACAATTTTCAACTCATGCAACACAGAATAACAACTCAGCAGGGGTCCAAGCAAATGGGTCGAATACAACTCAGTGTAACAACAACCAGTGGGCAGCAGCAGACAGAAGTGACCATGGTATGGTCCCGAGGGTACATGTTCTTGTACTGTCAACACAACATCATAAATACGCCAATCCTTTGTCAACTTCACAACATTAACTATGGAAATGGTACATTAAATTACAATCTTAAGGTGGCAATCATAGTGCATATAGACTTCACTATGAACAAACAGTTTGTATGATAAAAACCACAAGAAGACCGCCTCCTTTATTGAAATTGCTATCTAGGAAAAAAACTTGTAGTTCAAACTTATTCATCGGAAACATAGCATTCAACAGGAAAAGAAGCTATTGTCATCCAATTAAACATAGTTCAAACTTGTAGTACACTCCTTTGAAGATATTGTCATCCAATTAAACATGTAGGACACTGGAATTGGGGATCTTTACCACCTAATTAAAGAAGTGTATTTCTAAAGTTAAATTCATACGATCAAATATCAAACAGCCATGAAGTTTTACAAAATGGTGGGTCCTTTTTTATATTGCCTGAACAGTTTGATTTTTCTATAATATCACAGAAGTCATATTCACAGAGATGCAACGCAAACTTTCACACATCCAAGGACTACATTCAATAGATCCATGTCGAAAATTGATCTATGGGTTTAGGAATTATACCTTCTTCTAGACTTGAGGGTTTTCAGTCGTTTGTTACTTGTTTTCCCTTGGGTTCTGAGCACTGGCCACTTCCGTTTATGCTCCTCTTCTCTGCAACCAACAACCACAGAATATTGCAGTTCAGAATCAACCCCACATGGTACAAAACATTCACATTGTAATATCATGGTTGGGCATTGACAGGACATATGGAATTGCTTCCTGCCTATCTCCAATGCCATTCAAACAAGGTGGTCCGAGGAAGGTAAAAGGAAATCAAAAAATGCAGAAACAACCAAACAGAGGATACGACTTCGAACATAACCACAAACCAGATTCTTTCATCACTTGTCACGTGAGATATAGCAAGGCTTAGTTGTGAAACCATGGTCGCAAGGCTTAATTATAAAGCCATCATAGTTAACAAGTAGTATTTTCCTGTGAATGAACAGAGTTGTGAGTGTTTTTTATTCACTTTAAAAGGAGGGGTGGGCGGGAGGTGGGTATATGAATCCAAATGCATTCAGGATGCATGCTAGTTAACCCTCCTGCCATATAGAAAGTCCAAAGTATGAAAGGACACGAAATTTTCAGATTAGCTGCTTATAAGAACAACTATGGAAATTCATTGGGTACACATTATAACTCAACTTGTATGCAATTGCTCCCACTTTCATATACTTCCCAGTGGCACAAAAGTAGAGTACATTTTATGCCAACTAAAAATGTCTAATTCATGGCCCATGCACCAGTAAAGACAATCCTTTCACTAGTCATCTCTCCTTGTTATCAGAAGAAATCTTTACGCCTCTCACAAAGAATCAAACAAACAAATAAAATGAGACCAAAGACGAAAATTCTTGCAAAAGTTTCTCTAAAAGCTGAATGAAGATATTCAGAGTTTCCACTGTAATCCAAACTCCATAAGCCCTATAAAATAGGCCAGGATTTTAATGTCAAACATGCCTGGTAATACAGATCTCCTTATATATGCCTTCAGACTAACACCTAATTTTCTCATAATCTCATATAAAGAGTGCATAACAAAAATTTCTTCAACTCACATAAATTCTCATCCAAACAATTCACAAACATCCAACCCTACATGAAATTTAATAAAATAAAAAAGAGAAACTAGTAAAGATTCGTGAACCAAGAACATAAAAACGAAAAACCACACAGATTTATGCTAACATAACAGAGATGGAAGTATGTGTTCCTTCTGCAAAAGAAACTTGTCGATTTTATGGCCAAGCATGGTTTCTGAGTTCGGATTTGAATGAATAGTTGAAATATGAAAACCCCAAATTCTAATCTCAATTTGACCCAAACATCAAAACCCTAATTTGTTCAAGTGCAGAGGTCTATGATTGAAAATTTCTCAAACCCAAAACAACAAAATCAAATAAAGCTCAGTAACATCACGATCTTCAAACAAATCAAAGAAATAAATCGAAGTTTCGAAGTTTACCTGACAACTCTGAGCAGATAAGGGCGAGTAGATGCAGATGAGGGAAGACAAAGAGATGAGGGTGAGGACGACGACGATGAGGGAGGCAAGGATGACGATAAAGGAAGACGCAGAGATGAGGACCAACGACTCTCTCGTGGTTCTCTCTATCAGAACGGCGAAGGGCTTACGAGTCCACCCGAAATTGGGGATCCCCGTTAAGAACGCGTAAGGAGGTCTTTAATCCGAGCGAGTCCGACCTAAGCTCATTAAACCTAATCCTGGAGCACACCAAACAACGGACTACAGTCTAGTCCAGTCCAATCCTGTCTAATCCGGTCAAACAAACGGGCGCTAAATGGACAACTAAAAGAAACCTACTTCTCTGCCACGTGAAGATTGAACTAAAAGAAAAAAAGGAAGTTCAAGCCGTCCCAAATTCACAGGGAAGGAAAAGCTTGTTGTCAAACTTCCCAAATTATTTGGGAAACTCATTCACATGGCAACCTTTGCATTAACACCCAAATAACTAGAAGACAAATCAAAATTACAAAAGATTTTTGGAAAAGCATCACTTTGTACAAGTGTTCATGAGAAAGGATGGCAAGTATCAAAGACAACACATGGATGGGAGCACAAAAGGGGTGACCAATGTCTACCGTCAAGACCAATCAAATAATTCTCTACATGGAAACAAAGATGCCGGAAGGTGATAATTACACCTTAACGCACCAAAAACTCAATCTAGTATGGCAGACATGAAGAGTGCGTTACTACAAATTTCAGAGGGGCAATTCTCACCTTTGGAGCCATGAATCAACAACTGTTTTCAACAAACTCGGTACTGCAAAATAGTTGTCCAACAGCCATGTCAAAAACTAAGACAAAGTGATACTGAAAGCTACTGATGATAAAGGAAAAGTTCAAATATATTTAGACTACGGAAGCTACCAACATCAAATTTAGACTACAGAAATTTAGACTACTGATGAGCAAGAGAACAATGCAGCAGAAAAATGAAAGAGTTTATGACCTGCACATGAGGAAGCCTTTGCGATTTAAGGGGGGAAATAATGGTAAATTGAAAAAATTTGAAAAGGATATGAACTCCAACAAACCTTTACCCATTCTCACTTGGAAATCAACGGTTACACAATCCAAATGGAGGTTCGAAAGCCCAAGTATATCGGAATTGATTCTTGCTTTTGGAGGAAAACCACGTGTCTTGGAGCCAAGAAAAAAAAAAGAGGAATTTTTGCTGAAAGCCATCTCGCAAGAGGGGGGTGTGAATGAAATCTGCACCTCATACCTCACGTGGAGAAGAAGTGGGGTTATTGAAATTGGAAAGTCAAAGTTGTTGAAATTGGAAACCCTTAAAGTCACATAAAAAATAGTGAAACTTGCTGTCAGAAAACTTGGGTCAAATTTGTAGTCAAGTACCTCACATGGAGAAGTGAGGTTATTGAAATTGGAAAGTCAAGTTGTTCAAATTGGAAACCCTTAAAGTCGCATAAAAAATAGTGAAACTTGCCGTCAGAAAACTTGGGTCAAATTGGTTCAAAGTTCCGTGCTTAGATGAAGGTGAAAGTTGAAAAGAAAGAAATAAGAAAAAAGAAAACTAATGAAAAAGTTTTGAAAATTTTGAGTTTTGATGATAAAGGTAAAATAAAGGGCAAAGTTAATAATACCAGGTTTAACTTTTTAATATAAAAATGTGATTTTTCGTTAAAATAAACAGTAACGTGAGTTTTTTTTTTAAAACTCGTATAAAAAAAAAGGGAATAA